AAGTTAATATCTTTATCTAGTTTATTAGTATTAACTTTAATCTAACCACCACAGATTATTTAACCACCACACTATTGAAATTAGTTATGTGGTGTTCAAGTACCTCACAATTATCATCAGTACTTTTAAAAACATACTGACACATTAAATGTGAATATATTGTTGTTTTAACAATGTAAGTTATAGACAGATGACAGTTATGATCTCATACATCGGTAATTTTTTTATTACCACACTCATCTTGTTAACTACGTTGTTATTTCTAATAAACTACTTTATAAAGTAAAGTTTAATTAACTAAAGCAAAAAGATAAGATTTAAATTAGATTTACTCTTATAAACTATATTTATATATATATACGGACCTATTCTGTGCACTTTATAATCTTGTCAAACATTGACACTTGTCAAAATTGACAAGTGTATTCTGTGACATAAATAAAATGCTCTTTTCCTTGTTAGTTGTCAATACTACAAATGCTGTTGACAACTATAAAAATATGCTCTTTTTAAGCATTTTTTATTTTTTACATGCATGACAAATATTCTTTATTTGTTATATAGATATATGTATCTATATATATAGATCTATATATACAGATCTATATATGCCTATCTATTTATGGATCTAAATATAGATCTATATATATCTATCTATATATATGGATCTTTATATAGATTTATATATATCTATCTATATATATGGATCTATATATATCAATCTATATATATAAATCTATATATATCTATCTATTTATGGATCTATATATAGATCTATATATAGATCTATATATCTATATATAGATCTATATATATATATCTATATATAGATCTATATATATCTATCTGTATATATGGATCTTTATATAGATCTATATATATCTATCTATATATATAGATGTTTTTATATTTATCTATAAAATAGATTTACTAATATCTATAATATCTATATATATAGATGTATATGGATCTATCTATATATATATATCTATATATATAGATCTTTTTATATTTATCTATATGTATAAAAAAATATAGATTTACTAATATCTATAAATACTTTTATAAACTAATATATATAAAGATGTGTTTTAAAATAAAACTTATTACTTGAGGCAACTGTAAGTCTACAATTTGTTGTGTTTAATATTGCAGCGTTTATTGTTGTTGTTGTGGTTGTTGGCTGCCTGTTTGACCGCATTTGTTGCAGTGTAACTACTAGAATCTAAAAATAAACAAACATAAATAAACTTAAATCTAAAAATAACTAAACGGAAACTACTATAACTCACATTTGTTACAACAACTATATTGTTGCATTGACAAAAAAAAAAAACGAAATAAAAAAAACTAAATCAACAACATCAACACAACTGCAATAATAACAAGAAGAAGCAAATCTTGACTAAAAGCAAAGGCAATTGCTGAACTCAACTCAACAGTTGTCAATTGAAAGACAAGTTAGAGAAATATGGCAACTCAACACAAACATAGTAGCAAAATCATGAGATTTTATTACCGCACTGCGTAAAGAAGCTACTCCATGGCTCCCATGGCAATACTCGTACACTGTACTCCGCACTAGCAGAGTCCTGCCTGCAATTGTGGCCAGCCAACAAAGTTGCAACAGTTTAAAATTTGGACTTTAAATGGTAACACTCGACCGACAAATGCAAGTGCATACGAATGGGTACGATTACGTACGAGTGAGTGCATATGTGTATGTACGAACATGTATGTTTATATACGATTATATGTGAGTGTGTATGTGTGAATGTGTTAAATTTACACTGTAAATTGAACTAAATTTAGCACGTATCGTTTATGCAATAATTTGTAGGCGCCTGAATATTTAAATGCCGGATTTATGGTAATAAAAGATTAAGTACGTGCATTAAATTTTGCTCACGTAGTTGAGTTGTAGCAACATTATTGCAATTCCCTCGTAAAGGAATTCTATAATAGGACCCAATTGCATAAACTATTTTACTGGATTTATTAAATGTTGCAAAAATCTTGTCATCCAACCACAGGTGAACTGTAATATTAAATAAATAATAGATACAAAGGAATACACTTGGTGTAATTTTACTAATTTAAAATATTAAGTAAAGTTAGATAAAAACTTTTTGCTGGAGAATGTAAATGAAGTTCACAAAACTTCATCCATTCATCCGTCTGTGAAAATATGAAAATTGAAAATTATGCGTATACTCCCACTTAAATGTATTGTATTTTCTATCCAATTACGTTAATTGAATATCATTATTTATGTTTGTTTTAGTTGCTATGATAATTACGTCAAATATTTCTTTTCATTAATGAAATAACAAGAATGAAAGCAATGAGAAACCCGTACATCACTTATCGTACAATTTTTCTTCATTAAATTTTGAGTGAAGTATTTAAAATGTATGGTTGGTGTTGCTCCTACGTACCGAGTTTTTTTTTGTCTTCGCATTTTTTCAAAAAAATTTCAAAAAATTTAAGTATGAAATTTTCTTTGGTACCCTCTTAATTACCCGAGCCAATGTTGGCAATAAAAACTTTCAAGAAACAATAAACAACTGCGGCAATTTAATTGTCCGAAAACAAAAATGAAGACTAAAAAAAATGAGAAAGAATTTTTGCAAATCATCACATAAACAAATAAGATAGATTATTGTTAAAAAAAAAAGATATATAAAAGAATTTTGGTAAAAATTTTTTAAGTTTTTTCCTATATGTTAAAAATTATTTTTCAACCAATAAAAGTTGAGTTTGATTTTGCCGTACACTTTACCCAATGAAATGTTATTATTTTTAGAAAGGATAATGGTAAGGTGTGAACTATAAGATCTTTTCTGCTATAGTAGGCTAAGAAAACAGCCTTCTAAATAAAGACTGTTAATAAACCTAATCATTTCTCTTGGTTCTAGATCCTTGTTGTTGTTGTGTTAGCACGCGGAGGAATGTGTAGTCCATTTGGGGACGGTGAACGGTACTTGGTCGTCGAAATTGACGAGTGTCTTCAAGAGGTATATCTGACCGTTCTTGGAACCTTTCTTAAATCCGTCACTTTATTAAGTAAAATTCAAATCAATGAACCAATTCACAGCCGTTATATAAACCTGTAACCCTGAATGCTAATCGCAGGAGAGTACGACTAAAGACTTTTATTTAATTTAGTATTTTTGTTTCAATTTTGTTTATTATATGTTTTGTTTTTATTAAATATTAATACAATTTCTTATTAAAAAATGAATATATTAAGTTAAATCAAAGTAACATAAATTGCCAGTTTACCTCGGTTTGACTGAATATACCCACATGAAATTTAGGTAGACATTATCTCCGTAACGCTTAGTCACTCTAAACAAAAACTAGTTTACCGGTAGCACACACTAAGAATTTTTATATGAATGTATTGAGTACTACCAATCTTTTATAACTGTATCCCGGTCATACTTCAAAATTTTCAAAATGAAATCTGTTTTATAAATATCGAATAAAGCAAAATACCATAGTAGAGGTAATAAATTTAAAATTCAAATTCCCAAAAAACTGTGAATGTGAAACTTGAATATGTAGACTTCAATACTTTAGAAATCCTTTGCTTTCAAAACTTGAACCGAAGTCTTGATCATTAATGTGTATCCAACTCCCCAAGTCCATATATGGTTTTATTATCTCATAATATGCTCTAAATGTCTCTTGAAGAATAATAGTGGATTCTAAGAAACTAGTCTATTATTTTGTCACAGCTAGAGCACTTGATATCCAATATCTATGTCTATATACAAATTCTTCCAACACTTTTATGTTATATCAATAAAATTATTTTAAAATAAATTCAATTGGTTTTAGAAATACCTCATTATTACGAAATAGTTTTTTTTTTAAGTTAGAAAAATACCGGAAACATCTATTGCTGCTTAAAGTTTTTCTTCAAAGTATTCATTCTCATGCATTTTTAAAAAAAACACTAGACTCAATGTTTTATGACCTAAAATATCAAATTATAAGATTTTTTGTTGATTTGGAGTGGTATATATAGAATAAGAACTATGGACCCTTCGTGTTAATCCCTTAGTAATAAAGTGAGTCGAATATCCGAAAAATAACAGTAAATTTTACGAAGAAACGAAGATTTTTTACAAAGATTTTGTTTTGCTCCGAAAAGGCGATTTGGTGAATGGGTTTAAGTGGAACCAACAAGTTTTCTCACTAAGTTATATGTCGACCAAATTTAGTCCGAAATATCAAATTTCAAAGCTATTAACCTATAATAGATTCTTTAAGAAAATTAAGATACCATATCTAGCGTCAACTAGTATATGCAGTGTTTATATCTGTAACATAACTAACAGGTAACAACAGCTAGACTTAAGTGATAAAGTAAGCGATATTGACATATAACATAATCGGACAGTGTCTTAAAATACCTGTCAAAGAGGCATGTCTGAATAATTGATATAATGCCAAGCTACATATTTATTTTAACATAAGTTCTAAAAATATTTATATATCTATGTGATATGTGGTATATACGCGCTAAATGGCTATATTCTATACTAGCAGTTTACAAACTAATGTCCTTACAATTTATTATCGTCCTGAAGGATTTATAAGTAACCATCTATATTGAAAAGAGCTTTAGAACAGTAAAAAATGTTTTAAATAAATCTTGGCTTAAGGAATTATCATTCTATTACCCTAAAAGAAATTTTGCGGTGTAGAGTTTAATGGAGGATATAACCCTATAAATCTTGTCTCTTTCTCCATGTACTTTTAACACTTATTGTCTATGTCTACTGCATTATCTGGTTGTTAACGTTTATTAATGATTACTAATGATTGTTTTCTTATATTATTGTTTTCTTTATATTATAATAAAATTAACAGAAATTAAAAAAAATTGCTACCTTTTTTTTGTCATTTTTATATAAACAAATTTATTTATTTTTATTTAGAAATAGAAAAATGTAAAAATGTTAGATTATTTGTAAGCCGATTTCAAAATTTAAGTGTTTAGTTAAATGTTTGTGAAAAATAAATTTTGGCAAAACAAAGTGTAAACCTTATTTAAAATTAGTATGTAAGGACCTTCCCTTCATTCTGTACCGCGCATTCATATGGCTTAATGGCGGTCCATGAACTAAGTGGGAGTGTTGATGTATGGTGGTTTCCTACATTTTTCTGTCAGTCACGTTTTGGAGAATACCAATCAAGTGGAACAAACTCTTGTACATTAATATCTTTACTTGTAGCCAATAGGGTAGCTAAAAGTTCCGAATGTGGCTTCGCAGTGACCAATTCGGAATTGGCAAAACATGCCGTTGATATATTCGGTGCTGCAATAAATGAAGGAAATGCTGTTTACAAACGCTCCACCATTGCTAATACAAGGACCAGTCAAAATTTTAATATTCCTGATGCTATAGCTTTACTTGCTGCTCAACCGGATTTAGGATTTTTTATAGGTGAATGGTTCTACACACATCTATATGCAAATCCAAATGATAGTTTATATGTTACAAAAGCATCCAGAACTCTTGCCGATATCATAGAAGCTACAATAGATGTCTATAAGAACAAATGCAAGGCTGCCAACGCTCGCTTTCTCTTCACCGCCCTGATAGCCGATAATAGAACGGTAATTTTTGTGTTTGAACTACCAGCTAACGTAGTGGCTGTGTTTGACTCACATCAACATGGACTGGGAGCGGGAGCTATTATAGCTAAAAGCTCAATAACTAACGTAGTCGATTTAATTCGATGGTATCTTAAAATGTTATTCACTTTATTCAACAGCAAACCAAAAGTTATTGAGCTATCCTTTTTAGCGTCCGAAGCAGACACGCTACCCAAGTTTAAACGACGCTTTTACACATGTTGAATAGTTGAATAGTATCAAAAACGGAAATATTATATCATGAATGCGTCTAAAAGAATGTTGGGAAGGGAAAACATACGTGTGAAAATTTTAAATAAATCATATATTTTTGAATAAACTACTATTAAAAAAATGGAATTAAAAGTAAAGAAACTAAATTCAAAGAGACAGCAGAATTTTAAAAAAAATTGTTAGGGATTCCGCTCTTAAGCGTTCACACACTTAATCCGAATATAGTTACGGGATAAAACAGTTATTGGATTTTATGAATTCCTTACTTAGATTTTAAAAATAATCTTTAAGTACCACAAGCAGACAACGTTGGTAAGTTTTATAGTTGATGAGTTGTAAAGTAAAAACCACTAATTTAATAAGAGATTTGTTCTTACAAGTTGGATACGATACCTGGACTGACTAATGGTGCCATCACATAACAGATTTAGGCAGCTTGAAGACGCATTTAAGAGCAGAATTTGACTATAAATGGCATAGCACTTGTCTAGAGAGCATCAAGCTTTTCACAACAAAAAAATATTAAATTTAATAAAAATTACAAACATATATTTTTTTATGTATTATATATAATATCAATATATTTTTCAAGACAATATACATACTCAAATATTGACTATTATGTTTTTATTAATTTTATTTTAATTAAATTCTTGCTCAAAATTACCTACGAAGGACAAACGCGACTTTTTCAGATAAGTAAGTTGATGTCCCATTTGACAGCAATCAGGCAATCAAATAATATCGCCGGATTTGAGAGGCCTTATATAATTCAAAAGAATATCTAAGAATTTTTGCAGACAGTAAATGGACAGATTCAATGTTTACAGATTTTTGCTATGGGTTCGTTCCTCTATGGGTTTTGTTATGTATAATCTACTCTCTTACTGCTTTAGTGATCCAAGGATCCAGAGAAATTTATTATAATACATCCATTTGCGTTTCAAGAATTTAAAAATAGACTAGTACAGATCACACTCGAATTTTTCTTTGTTGTTTGTTGTTGTTTTCAAACCAAAGGAAGCATCATTTTAAAATCTTTGTTTTCATATATTAAAAAACATTATAAATGTTTGTAATTAATCTGTAATTTACTTCTACTGCCATTGTATAATAATTAAATGATTATTTATGAAGTCTATATCGTACAATGATTTAGGTATGTTATTCTTAAATGGATTCGTTGCTTCTGAACAGCCAACCAAGATAGTTGATCTAAGGTGCAAACTAGATTGTCAAAGTATTGAGACCTATTAGATACTAGATTGCATATATAAATCTATTATATATTTTTGATACTTCAATTCAACAAAAAGTTAGATATAAGTTAATTTTTTTAATATATATTTTTAGTTATGTTTCGATTTCATATAAAACTTTGCAAAATATAACAGGCGAAGATATAGTCAATTCAAAATTCATATATAAAATTTGTACTATGATTCTCACAGTATTTAGTCCACTAATGCCAATTAGAATAAAAATATCAAGATTTTATACAATCTGTGAAGTAAACTAGATGAGATAAAAAGAGAAAAGATCATATAAGAAGCGAACTAAGGTCATCTATTCCGCTAATTTAAAGTATTCGGTGATGTGTGAGGAGTGTCCCAAGCGAGAACTACCAAAAGTGTTCTAAAAAAAAAGCCTACAAGAGAAGGCATGCTTGTCGCTCAATGTTAAATTTTAAGGACAAAGTTTTAGACACACCGAGAAAGAGAATTAAGGTCATTCGTCAAAAAGGTAGAAGAGATTTTGCGAGATAAATCTCAATGAAGGGTTTAATGAAAAAGAAGGAAAGACAAAGTATAGATTTGTTTTATTATGTTACAATTTGTTAGTCACAATTTATTGGTTACATTGGCTAAAGTTCAACATAATATGATTAACATTTCTCAAATTATATGAATTTAATTTAATAGTTAGATAGCAACAATTAAAATTAATCATAAGTAACCTATTATATTTTAGAAAAATAAATTAAAACATTTTTTTTTTAATTATGTGTGCACTTTCAGGTAAAAAAACTATAACTGCTTTCCCATTATAAAATGCTCAGTTTTTTATTAGTAGAACCCATATTACATTAAGATACATAACAGATATGAGCCCACATTAGCTGTTCCCTTTGAACATGAATCGTTTACTAAGTTTCCAAACAGCATACAAAGGAAATATAAACCAGAAAATCCTAGCAAATCCTACAAAGCTAATTAGGAAAAACTATTTTAATCTGCTTTGTCTGTATAGGCGCATCCAAGAGTAAATGAAAAATTGTGAAAGCTGAAATAAAAGTAGTTAAGGAACATAAAATTCATTGTAACATGCTTCGTATGAAAGCTTCCTATATTAGAAATAAACTGTCACGTTTGGCTTTAGTAAAACCAAATAATATTTTTCACAAGTTATCAAATAGTTATTTACTGATTTTTTTTAAAACTGCAGGCATATTAAAATATATTTTCTTCAACAAATAAAAGTATTTCACAAAATTAATATAATTATTGTATATAAACAATTTAGCTAATAAACAAAAGCATACTTTTAGGGCAACATATCAGCCAGTAAAGTTGCAGAACATTAATACGCTTATTTTGTCAATATTGCGCTAAACCTCACACAGTTTATGCTTCCAGTTTACTCGGTAATCATTACCAACCCATACTGTATCATGGATCCTCCCAAAAATTTTCTGGTTCGAACACATTTAATATCTTATGTTCGCGTTTCTTTAAGCAGATAAACATGATAGAAGTTTGTGGAAAGTGGTTTTCATTTATCGGGAGGGGCTTTATTTCTGAATAGCGTATTCAACCCGAAGTAATTAAACAAGTGTGATTTATCGTTGAAAATCTAATTTAATGTCATTTTTGGTGTTTATGCTCAAATAAACAAAGTTTATACAATTTCAAACATATAGTTGTCAACAGTGCCTTGCGTATATAATCCAAATATAATCACCTGGTTCAAACGGAAATCAGGAGACACAAATTACTATCTCACTCAGATACTGAGTGAACATGAAATTTTTGCAAATACTTGTACCACATTGGGAAGGCGACAGAGACTGACGATGCAGAGCACACTTTCTTTTACTATAATAGCTGACTTATATTTAGATATTGTGGAAAAGTTGAGAGTAAACTCAGATGACTGACGAACTACAGAGTCATATGTGATTCAAGTCATTAAAGTGAAAAAATTAGACGTAGAAAGGAAAATCAGAAACTAGGCTAATAAATAGTGCAGACATCAAGAAAATGCGGTAAAAAAATGCAGGTCTAGGCGCAGATCGAAATTCACGAGATTATAGCTTCATATGTCAACATAAAAAATATTCTACTTGAAGTAATGCGAGAGCCGTTCCGAGGGGGAATAAATCTCGCCGAAGAGATGGTACTTTAGTTTGTATACATATTAATGTTAGAAAGTCTGGCACACCATTTTAACGACGGTCTGTCTGACGGTGTATAAAGCATTCCACTTATCAGCACAACAAGAAAAAGGGATATATGAAGGATTTTGCTCTCATATTCCAACTTTTAAGAGATGTGGAAAGTGTTAATGTTACTAACTTTATAAATAATATTCATATTATTTGCTTATTCTTCAATATTATTAAGAAATAATATATAATTAAATTATATTAATATAAAAAGTATAAAATTCATGGTAGTTTGATTTGGTGAACATTCATTTTAAAAGCATCGAGTGTTGATTTCTTCGCATTAACGCAAATCTTTACGTTATCCCTCAAAAATCTGTAATGGTGATAATATATTGGTACCAGTTTACCGAACCAAAATATTAAATTATATGTCTTGGAAATTTCTAGCGGAACAAAAGATTGATGTGGTTTAGGACACCATTCTTTTGAAATCCCAAATCTTCCACATTTCAATGACGCTTTATTAATAAAGTAAAAATTTACTAATACAGATATATACCACTGAAATAGTGCATATATTCCTTTATTTATATAGTACAAAATATATACTATATAAATATATATATATATATAGTATAAAAAACAAATGTTTGTTTTATTTTTTTCTCAACTTAGCAATCTTAAAAAAAGTTATTTGCTGCTCAAAGACGCCTTTTGTCAATATGTGCCCCAATATCTAAACGTTCATTACGTTGTTCATTAACTTGAATTTTCTTTGTAATTTTCAATATTAACCTATTTCTAATAGTTTTTTTTCATGACATTTATATTTTCGATGAGTAAATGTTAATAATTATAATAGTTTTCTTATATATTATTAAATTATATTAATAAAATAAATATTATTTTATTTTAAAAAAACTTCAATTATATTTCTGATGTACCAGCTATAACTTATGCAAAAAAAAAATACCTATCATTTCTTTTATATCTATGTGTATATATGTATTTTATAATATTATATTATTAGTTATAAATAGATGTAATAATTTGTTTTATTTCATATACTCAATAACCATTTTTATTTTTCTATTTACAGAGGAAAAAATTCCAGCTCATAGGTGTCGCGCTGATCGGCCCCGGCCTAAGGGGCCATGACGCGTTGGCCCTTTAATTTGCTTCTATTGCTCTCGGCGGCAGTGTTTATTGTCCCGGGTGTCATGACAGTGCGTGATAGTATGAATCGTACAGTACTTAGTGTTGGTTATTTAACAGCATTAACTGGTGAATTAACTGACAAACAAGGGCTAGCGATATCAGGTGCATTAACTTTGGCTTTGCATGAGGTAAATACTTACCATATATATAGTAAGAATGTTATATGTATGGATTTATATATAGAATCTTATATATTTATTTTTATTTGTATATATCTTTCTGAAAGAGAGCGATTTGAGGGAAATATTAGTTATAATATAATACTAAGTGGAAGAAATAATATGAGTAGCATGTGGAAAGATATTGAAATACATACGAAAACTGTCTCTAAATTTGATTTAATTTCTAGCTTTTATTGTATATTATAAGAAAATGTATTTGAAAAAGTTCATATAACATAAACCTAATTAGAAAAAAAAAAATATAAATAGTATGAGGAACGATATTGAAATATGTGCACAACCTTTCACTAAATCGGATCTGATTCTTAACCTTAGTTATTATATTTTTAGTACAAGAAGAAAACTCACACATATAATTTACCTTCATTTTTTTTATTGATTTTAATTAGATTAATAGCGACAATAAAACATTGCCAAACGTTGTACTAGATCTGCGCTGGAATGACACCAAGGGTGATACGGTACTGGCTACTAGAGCTATAACCGAAATGATATGTGATGGCATTTCAATTATATTTGGGCCAGAAGGTCACTGTTTTGTTGAGGCGATTGTATCGCAAAGTCGTAACATTCCAATGATATCATATGTAAGTGATTAACAATTTATTTAATTAATTAATCAATCTTAAGTCGATATTTTATAAATTAAGCTTATTGTAGTTTCTAAAACAAATTATAACTTAGAGCATTAATTAATGAGAAAATATTTTTAATTATAATTTTATTAATATTTATTTAGATATTATAAATTCATATGATCCAATAATACTAAACTAAGTGTATTGTTATAATAATTGGATGATAATCAAACTAAACCGGCAACAATATAGTTATTAATAATAATAATAAAATACTAAATCAATATTCACTTAAAATATGCCATTAAAAAAATACATTTAAAATGCAGTGTATCAAACAAACATTGACAATTTTCTTGAATCTAATATTAGACGATGGGCTTATGACGTCAGTTAATAAGTTTGTAGGGAATCATGCTCGCACAGAAGGTGTTACTACATTATTGACACATCCATGTCACCTTCAACCTTCAAACGTTACGTGTTGTAAAATCTGACGTTTAGTTGACAAGTTACAGTGGTTTTAGTGACGTTACTTTCATAATTTTCAAAACAATTTAAGCTGACACATTGTTTTTTTCCCAGAAATCATATATTTTCAGCAATTTTTTTCACTACACTATATGCTAAAATAGTTTCATCCTTTATATATATTTAATCCTTTAACTCCTAGAAGGAGCATAGGGTCGCAAGAAATATCTTCCACTCGGAACGATTGGTGGCCAATAGCTTCAACTCTCCCCAGCTTTTCCGCATGTGTAACATTTCCATGTCGATTTGCCTTCTTCAGATGTGAGCAGATGTGCCTCTTCTTCCGCTATTCATCGGGTTCCATTCAATCGCTATTCTTGTGGTGTCATCAGTTGGTCTACGCAAAGTGTGTCCGACCCTTTCCCATTTGCGTGTTTTGATTTCGGTTCTTATAGGTGTTTGTAGACTTCCTTTATATATCTGACTTTATGTTTTGAAAACTATTGTCTCGGATTTTTTTTCCTTTTTTTAAAATATTTGATGCAGTGATGCTTAAAGAAATCAGCTGTTAAAAAATACTCTCCGTAGCACTGGCGATATATATTTTTTTTGTGCAGTGATGTCACAGCCACAGTGTGGGACTTGAACCCACTAAAGCCACCAGTTTTAAATAAAAAGAGAAAATTTCTAACGCAAAGCGGAAACTTCATTCTAGTAATTGAGGAGAAAAGATGAGGACAAGAGGTGACACTAGCGATTTTTATCCCGAAAATGTTGACACAAAACTGTTCTGTAAAATAATTAGTGAAATTATTCTTTCCTACTCTAAATTGCATTAGATTAGTTTCTTTCTCTCTTTTTTGTTTTCAATTTGAATATACTTTAATACTGACCATATGTTTAACAGAAATGAGAAGGTCAACTTCGTAAATGATGTTTAAATTAAAATTAAATTAATATATATTTTTTTCGTATTTTCTTGAGACATAAAAATATTGTCAAATAAGCACATTTTATAATGAAAGTATTTTCAATATTTGGACATTCATAGGAACTATGGTATGTTTACAATTTTTAACATCCATTTAACATTTTATTGAGATAGTACGTTAATCTGCGGTGTCCTATTAAGAACATGATGTGAATCAAACATCCTCTCTGCTCGGTGCAAGGACTTTGATGGGCTGATGAATTTTTTAATCTGAGTTCTGAGTAACCTAGTGGTTTTTTAATTAGTATTCCGCCTAGAATCTTAGTTTTGAAGACAAATTAAGTTTTTTGAAGTTAGCCAATTATTTGGTTGTCTTGCTGTTCGTCATATTCGGAACCCACCTCTAAGCCATATCCCAGTTATTACAGGAACAAAATGGAGTTATTGATATTCCTGAACAAGAATAAAATAAATTTCTTCATGTTTTTTTTTTTATATTTTTGTTCTCCTGTTCGTTAAGCTCTAAAAGTTAAAGTATAAACACTTAAACCTTACTTAGGTTAAAACTGCAGACTCGCGTAACATAAACTAAAATGTAATTATACTATAAATATCTTTTTATGGTCATTACCAAAAAGAAAGTAAAACTATGTTCACACTTAGACCTTTGGACCTTTTCAGCATATTTTTATATGGATTTTGAGTGAGTTAAAAAGGGCACATATTGCGGCATATCTGCTGCATATAAAAGTATAATATTAAGTCTAAACATAGCATAAAATTGATGTGATCATTCGTCAATTGACTGTCTGCATAACAAGGTTTTTGGAAAAGACAACGTTTACTCTTCGTCTGTGCTATTAATAAGTTGTTATTTAAATAATAAATAAATTAAAAATAAATAAGTAAATACAAAAGTAAAAATAAAACTGTACTGTAATTATTTTAATATGTACCATATATCTTAATAAAAAAAATAAATAAATAAGTAAATGGAAAAGTAAAAATAAAACTTATTTCTTACTGTAATTAATTCAATATGTGCAAATATTAACTGTTGATTAAATAAATTAAGTACATGTTTGAAAATTTAAATCAATAAAAATGATTTTTTATATATACAAATACAGCTGCTAGATTTAAAGAATATTTTTATTTTTATTTTTAATAGTTAATCGTCAATATTACTTTTAATTGTTAACAATTTTAACAATAAAAATGCAATACATTAAATCTGCTTTACAATGTCCGTAAATGTTAAATGTAAGCTTATTTATTACAATACATCATTTTGTTTATATATTGAAGGCATTTTCCGAAGGTGGTTTCCTCAGGATTATTATGTTTTTTAAATTGATTTTATTTTTCACTCTATACGGTTTATGTCAATTTTTCCCTCGTGGGATTTATCCTGTCAATTTTAAATTAAAAGTTTATTATTTTTCTCAATGAAATGATTTTATTGTTTCACATTTTACTATTTTTTATTAATAATTTTTTTTTTAAAAAACTTTTTTACTGAGTTCTGTAAACATATAAGTTTGTCAATAAAAGCTGCTGGTTTACGAACTGCAGCTGGTCCATTAAATTTTAAATCAAATGAAATAACTACAAATATCCAGTGAATGAAATTTAAGCAAAATAAAAACAGTAAAATATATATATAAATAAATAAATAAAAAAGTTGCTAAATAACGTTGAACAACTAAGTAAATATTTTATTAATTTTTGTTTAAACAACAGTTTAAGCAAATAGCTTAGTTTAAAATAGAACACAGCTATTTCAATTAAGTTCCAAATCATCATATCATATCAATTTTTTTTATTATCATAGCTTCTCATTTCCACCAAAAAGTCATTAACATCATATAAAAATTGCATGCGTTTTAAATTCTTGTGATCCTTGCTTTTCTATGAAATATCATTATTAAATTTTTAATTTTCTCTCCTTTTTTTATTTTCATGCAGAAATGTGCTGAAAACAGGGCTTCTTCTATACCAACATTTGCGCGCACGGAACCACCGGATACACAGGTAAGTTTAAAGTCATTTCAATAAACCTCAACAAGTGTATTAACGTCATTACTTCCGCCGGAAGCATAGCTTGTTTTTTATATTTAAAGCTTCGTATCTGCTGAGGATACTTGCAGTGGCACTTAGTAGTGTCTTTATTTTTGCTGTCGTCGTAGTAGACGTAGTGGTGTGGTTATATGTACTTTTCCTGCTGTTTGCCTCCAGCGAGGATATCATATAAATTGTATTGAAATTCTGTGTAAAGGATGAATGCATTCCTTTTCACTCAAAATGCATGTTATCTGTCATATTATGTGTTTATGAAATATTTATTCTACAAGGTGTGCGAATAAATCTCTTGGATTTTCTTACAAGTTGTCGCCTTTCTTGACTTAAAATTGTTGTGCAAGGATATTTAAATTTGCATTATACGAGTATTTCCATTTAAACGATTGCAATATAACGTTTATGTATATAACGTCTATACATATAACGTCTATATATAAATTGTTGCAATAAAGATTTTTTAGGACATGAGAGCTATTAAATAAAAATAGCAATAAAAAATTCTGATTAATTATAAAAAAAATTTTATGCAAATATTAAGTTTGTTTATAAAAATGAACATCTAAAAAGAATAATAATTAAAAATAATTCTTTAACAGATTTTTTTAGTTTTTATATTGATATGAGCACTATTATACTTGAACCTTTTTTGTTTGCATTAACTACTCTAAAAAGTAAATAAAATTCTCAAACCTCAATCCAAACATTAAACTTAGTTAATTAATTTGATTTTGACGAAAGAAACCATGTTTCCTAATAGAAACTATTGGTTTCAATAGAAAGGTATTTTGAACAGTATCCAGATCAGAGGTGAATTATTGCTTAGTCTGATGAAGTGATAAACAATAATCCAGTCAAGGTGCAAAGAGGGGTTTTGAAGAAACTTCGCAGTTAATAGAGAGTAAAAGTGCTCAAGTTCATCACCTCAACTAGCCTCAACATAATAATAATAAAACCTTTAATTTTTAGAATTTATTAATATTAATTTATCTTAGATTCAGATTCTGATAATTTCTCTCAAGGAAATATTAAACAAACGTTAAATTTTGATTTTAACAAAAAGTGACCTGTAACCGTAAAAAAATATATAAAAACCATTTTTATTTACATTTATTTAATCAATTTTTGGCTGACCATACACAGCTATTTCGAGTTTTGCTAAATATACCTTACATCAGTAATCTTTTAAACATATTTTTTATAATTAATTATTCATAAATCATTTTTTTAATACTGCAAGTACCAAGAATTGAACTCGAGCCCTGCCAATTTTAAAGCTCAGAGTCAGTTTTCATTAGCCAACTGACCTAAAACCGTAATTGACTTATCTGTTCAAATTTGGAGTACTCTGTTAATTTGATGAAAAAGTTCATTGCTGTGCTATATTAGAACCAAATCATAAACCAACTGTAGAATAATTGAATTAATTAATTGTAATTATATTTTTAATAATTAAATTTCAATACTATTCTTTTTATAGATACATTATTTATCGCATTGCTTCTTGTGCATAGAACCTTATTTGGGAACTAAATACATAGACTTTATTAGTTAATGTTATCGAACGAACACTATATCCTTTAATATTAAAAACGTGTATACTTATAAATAACTTTTACAGCAATTTTCAGACAAATTATTTAGCCAATTTAATGCTGTTAATTAGCATATTCTTTTTGATTTTACTTTTTTAGTGCTGTTAAGAGTAGACCTTTGTCTATACTTAGTTATATATGTAGATGTTTATCTTAAAGTTGCATATTTCTTCAGTGCTAATGTGAGGGAAACGACACATATTTAATTAATATTACAGCAATCATGTAGCTACCCAGCATTGCAAATAACAATACTATGAAATTCTTATAATTATCGAAAAATAGCTATTTTGATATCCACCTTTACAAATATTAATACAAAGCACAATGAATTTCTACTAATTATCGGGAAATTGATGTTTGACATCTTGAAATGAAAAATATGTGACGTTTTTGAATTAACAGCTTTGATATTTTTTTTATCGAATAAATCTCAGAGATATTTCGTAGTAACCTCAGTAACTTCAGTAGCGTAGCCCACTTTTATAGTTATCTGAATTTATATTGCCTGCAGCCCACGCTCTTTGGTAGTAGTCAAAAATTATTGCCTTGAAAAAGCTTTGCCTTCCGTCATACATATATAATGCCGCCATACAGAGTATTTAAGTTCCCGTCAGAATTTCCGCTCAAGTATATCGCAAGATCCATTGAGTATATCAATATTTATAATTTTAGAGATAAAATATTTGCCTTCGATTTACTTTAAAAGTGATTAGCTACGTAAATTTTTATAAACCTTGTTAGCAATGGCATTTCTACTCTCGTAATTGCATATTGGTGCATCCAATGGTTTTTAGGTGTTATTTATAGTAATGATAATCTATTTCTTCACGATATATTGGAACTTGCAAGAGTTTACCGACAAAATCTACGATTTTGGTGCTTTGAGTTTCAAGTACCTTATTATTCTATTTTAAGAGTTAAAACCATTTCAACTGATTTTGCTCATTAATATTTTGTTAAAAATATAATTTAAATATCTATTACCTAGGTTAGGTTTGGTTGTACCAGCGATCCGAAAGGATACATTAGACCCATAGGCTCATTTTGTTACAGTAAAAGAGAAAATCAGAGGTTTAAAATTACTTTGAACTTTTGGCAAAGCTCGTAGTGTTATTTAAGAAGAGGTCTCAAGTCACAATAATCCTCAAAGGATGCAGTGACGTGGTGCCAGAGTTCCGAACCCTTTCTAAATCTAAAGAGAGGTATTGCAGTTGACCAAGATTTCTTCTTAAAGTTACCGTGAACTTTTGACAAAGCTTATAGTGTTATTTAAGAGGAGGTCTCAAGACACAATAATCCTCAAAAGATGCAGTGACGTGGTGACATAGTTCCGAACTCTTTCTAAATCTAAAGGAAAGTATTGCAGTTGACTAAGATTTCTTCTTAAAGTTACCGTGAACTTTTGACAAAGCTTATAGTGTTATTTAAGAGGAGGTCTCAAGACACGATAATCCTCAAAAGATGCAGTGACGTGGTGTCATAGTTCCGAATCCTTTCTAAATCTAAATTGACCAAGAATTGCAATTGACCAAGATTCTCTAAAAAAAGGCCCATAGACTGGTGGAGTAAAATAAAGTCTTTTATATTGAAATCCCGTACTTTGTTCAAGTGTCGCAATGTTATTTTCTATTATATTTCTTTTACATTTAAGCAAAATAATTTTTTTGGTCAATGGCTTATTTCTAGGAATTGAACTCATTCAAATCATCACTTTGCCATAAATATCTCGAGGCATTTTAGTTTTTTTTTTTATAATTGATAGCTTCATATTTATTTATTTGGTGATAAATTGAATTAAATAAAATTTAATTAGTTTGCATATTCGTTGATCAGTTTATGTGTATTTTTTATTAATGAAAGCATTATTTTGTGCTTTGCCCTAAGCTCTTTAGAAATGTGAATAATTAAGTGAGCGATATTGACAACAAAAGCCTCTATTTTTATTAATTTTCCTATCGAACAATTTAGGCACAAAAAGTATGATATAGATAATTTGATTTAATTTAATAATTAATGTGAACTTTATGTTTAAGCCAATTATTTATATAATTTAATTTTATTTATTTTCAACTCATGTTTATATTTTTTTTCGTTGTTCTCCCTGAAGGTTATTAAGTCAGTGATATCGTTGCTACGCTATTATGGTTGGAGAAAATTTTCGATATTGCATGATGAGCTGTGGACGACAGTTGCAGATTTACTCAAGGAACAAGCAACGAAACGCAATATGACAATTAATCACAAGGAATCGTTTATAGATAATAAAGCCAAATGCTGTGAATTGATGTTGTCATGTTGCCGGACTGGCTTTTGGTATCAGGTAAGTAATTCGTTTGTCTTATTTGTTGTTGTTCAACCCAAAGCATTTCTTATTTTTATCTCATTTTTTTACACAGATTGTTCAGAATACCATGAATCGAACACGTATTTATGTTTTTCTTGGTACTGCATCATCCTTGGTTGATTTCATGGCTTCTATGGATACGGCAAATCTTTTCTCAAAAGGTGAATACATGGTCATATTTGTTGACATGATGACCTACACACCAAAGTAAGTAAATTCTTTATAATATCGCATAATCTCTAAGCACTGTGCATGATTGAAATTCACATTATAGAATAAAAATGTATTTATTATTTGTGTATTTTTTTTTTAACAGAGAAGCCGAAAAATATCTACGTAAGCCTGACCAAGTCGAACGCATGACAATTTGTCGCGAACCGGAAAATTTTATGCAATTGGCACGTAGTTTATTAGTCGTCGCATCTACCCCGCCCACTGAAAGTTATGAAAATTTCACAGCTAAAGTGCGTGAATACAATTCACAGAAGCCGTTTAACTTTCTAACGCCGCACTTGTTTTATAGCAAAAAATTTCTTAAGGTGAGTACACAAGCAAAACGAAGTTAATGTGAAATATCTCTGAGGCAGGAGCGTACTTCTGAAAAGTACTTTTAGTATGAAATGTATCAAAACATTTTAGAGAGTTGCACCCCAAAACCCTGCCAATCCCTTTTGTCTACACTATTGAGGTTACTACGAAGTTAATGTGAAATATCTCTGAGACAGGAGCGTATCAGAGACTCATTTCGGGGAAGTCTTAAAATACTTCTGAAAAGTACTTCTAGTGTAAAATGAACCAAAACATTTTATAGAGTAACTTACACCCCAAAACCCTGCCAACCCCTTTTGTCTACGCTACTGAAGTTACTGAGGTTACTACGAAATATCTCTGAGGCTGGAGCGTATCAGAGACTCATTTCGGGGAAGTCTTAAAATACTTCTGAAAAGTACTTTTAGTATGAAATGTATCAAAACATTTTAGAGACTTGCACCCCAAAACCCTGCCAATCCCTTTTGTCTACGCTATTGAGGTTACTACGAAGTTAATGTGATATATCTCTGAGGCAGGAGCGTATCAGAGACTCGTTTTGGGAAGTCTTAAAATACTTCTGAAAAGTACTTCTAGTGTAAAATAAACCAAATCATTTTAGAGAGTAACTTACACCCCAAAACCTTTTAACCCCTTTTGCCTACGCTACTGTGTTGGGTATATCGCATTTTAGTATTTGAGTTAATAAATGCAAATGCAGTTTACAAGCTACAGTCAGAATAATAAAAACAGTAGAGTCGGAATAGTATACTTCAAAGATACTTCAAAAATAATAAGGATTGATACAGGTGCACTAGTAAAAAATGTAAATAAATTGTAAGGAAAAGAATTTTACTTTTTTATTTTTGTTTGAAAAAATACTAAATTTTAATTTTTTTTATCTTATTTCCAATATAAACGTTTTGAAACTTTAAACACAAGATTAAATTTCCTTAAAAAAATTGTTGTTAATTTTAATTTAAATCACAACAAATTATCTGATATTTTGTTATATCAGTTTTATTCTTAAACATAGAGCAGTCTTGTGGCCAAAAATTCACTTCAGGATGCTTTAAGATAATTTCAGTAATTTAAAAAACTTATTTTATCATATTAAACACTCATGATGCATTAATAATAAATATCCATATGTTAAAATATAGTCATTCATTTCATGTATATAAATCCTATATAAATTACCTACAGTTATATAACATATACGGTATGATCAAAATGTTAAGAAAGCTTTAAAATTACGGTCGGTGTATCGTCCTTATCGAGTCGAGTTTTTTTTGTGTATTGGTTACACTGCACCGCACTGTATATATTAACTGTCACGCAGTTGTGATGCATAGTTTGTGTTGAGAAAACTTATATATAGATATCGTAAGCCATACAAAATAAATGTATGTTACAATTTGAAACACCCCACCCCTGTTAATTCCATCGTCGTTTAATAAACAACAATGTAAATACAATATGATTCAAAGAACACATGTATTTAAGTAAAGAGAGCATTAGATCGTAAAGTTCTTCGAATTATAAAAATTGCATATAAAAAAATTTAAATATAAATTAGTTGGTGGGATAGATCTGTTTCTAACTGTTTTTAATATGTGTTCAGAAAATAAATCACAAAAATTGAACTTTTTAAATAAATTATGATTCAATGTATAAGTCAGATGAACTTTACATCTATGACTTTATGAATGGTACCAATGCTCTCAGAAAGAATCAAGACGTCATCTTCACTGTCTTCAATGTAAAGGAAGTAGATAAGAAAAATGTGGCGCATGTGAAGCAATCTTAATGAATGTTTCAGTATCAAAATTTGTTACTAAATTTGATTTATCAGCTAAAACAGTATCGCCTAATTTTCGCTGAAATATAGTTTAAGACCGTCGTTCACAATCCAGATTTAGAAACGTAGATATATGGTAACATCATTGAAACGAAAGTCTCAAAAGACAAGGTTGTCTAGCAACATCAAAAATGAATGCGACGACCCGGAGCAAGCTTAACAGTATATCTGAAAATTCATCCTAATAGTGTTGCTCAAACTGAAAATGACGGTAGCATAAGTGTATAATATTAAAATATTCTCAGTACTCTTTGATCAAATCTCATACATTTGAGTTTATTAAAATCCTGGTTTAACTTTTGAGCATGATAGCATAGAAAATGATATACAAATGCATTGTAATTGTAATTTTATGTTTGCTGTTATTTAAACTGCACGGGTCACAACACCAAAACCAACAACAACGCAAATACAATCGTTACGTAAAACACACAACAATAAATTTGCAGCAACAACAATGTTTCCTTGTGAATGTAGTAACTTTTTTTGTATGTATTCAATTCATTTGAGCACATAATGTAATGATAAATTTCTAGTGGTTTATTGAAAATTGGAATTTTTTTTTAGTTGACTATTGGCATTTAATATAATTAATGATGTGAAATGTATTATTAAAAAAAATGTGACTCTGCTTAGTAGTAAACCCATTTTCAATATCTGATTAAGGTAGTTTAGTAACTGATATTGGGGATTTTTAATATTTCAAATGTTTATACAGACATTTTTTATAGAAATATTTTTTGATTTTATTCTTTTTACACAAATTAATTATTTTATTTTATTTCGTCATCTGGCATTTTGTTTTTTTTTTTTGGTGCAGTTAGTTGGGACTTCAGGTGTGGTGAGTGAAGTGAAGGGGTTTAATTCTAATTGATTCATTTCATTTAATTGTATTGCATTAATTAAACTCTTTTAATATCCACAAATAAGCTTTTTTTGTAATGAGAATATTTTTAATATATCACTTAAATCAGTAAATCATTTGCAATAAGAGATGAATGTAAAGTATAGTTTTATTGTAAAAATATATTTTTATAAATTTTAATTAATAAATGTGTATGGTTAGTTAATTGGAGAATTTATTAAAGTTTGATTTTGATTTTTCCTTGCGTTTTTTTTTTAATAAATTATTTAAATTATTCAATAATTAATATCACACGTACTATTTCTAAATAGCATTTTTAAGTTGTATAATTTTTTGTATTATTAAAAAAAATCATTAAACTCCATAATCCTCTTTAAAAAGGTTTCAAAATTCCACATAAAATGTCACAAACTGTTTCAATTTTTTAAACAATATTTAAAAAGGACTTGAATTAAAATAATGGCAATAATGAGGAAAATAACGACCTTTAGATTAAAGCGAAGCAATGCAAATAAGTTTTATTTGAACTAAAAACTAGTGCCACTCAAATGCTTCGTTGGTTTCATTTTGGTTTGTGGATTTTTAAACGCCAATGGAATTCCACTCGCGGATGTCATTACTCTGTATTGTCAAGTATATGCAAATTTAAGAAAATCCATTGAGCACGGAACCGTTTTCATTTCTGATTCATTCACCTTTAAAAATTAAAATTCAAAAATGAATTGCTTTTATTCTTATACAGATAATGTTGACTGATTTAAGCAATAATCGATAAAATTTATTGTAGGCGGTTTAGGCAGTAAAATACTTTAAAAAATTTATTTAAAAAAGTCTTCTATATTTATATTGAATACTCATTAAATTTTCATCATTCATTAAATATATTTTGATCATATAACGAAATTTATTTTAATTCCTAAAATATTGTGCACTATAAATATAGTAGCATCCTATTCCAATATCTCTCCAGATGAGCATGATTTTAAGGTTCATTAAGTTAAGATCTATCATTTTATTGTATAAATTTGGATGAAATTTTGTATGTGTTTCATATTTCATTTCCTGTTACCATACACATTATAAAATAAATAACCCTATTTCGTTTAGTTTATCCAATTAAAAATTAGGTTAATAATATTTTTTAATTAGTTTATGGATCATGCAAACAGAATTTTTTTTGTAACCATCTTTCTGTAGATGTTTTAAACCAGGCTGAAGTTTTATTTTGAATCCCTAATTTATTAAAAATCACATTAAGCCAATCGAATTAAAGAACAAAAACCATTAAATCCTGATTAGGATAAACTACAATTCTTAGATATTTTGGGTAAGGTAGGTTTATCATAGATTAAGTTAGAATAACTTGGCATGCGCCATACACAAAGGTAATGTCATCTAGTAATACCAGATACAGTCTAACATTATATAGACTTGTAGTAGGTAGTATCTACAATTATCACGAGTTTTTCGAATTTAAGAACTGCTTGAAGTTCCCACCCTGAAAGAGCTTTCAAGTATCTAATTTGTGCGGTTCCACAGTATAGTGTGAGACATCACCATAGTATATGCTTTCTTTGGAGAGACTATGTTCCTGCCTCCTTGCATTTTCTGCAAATTGGCCATGGGCCTATTTGTAATTTCTATTTTGCATACGTATGCCGCTAGTAGAATGTAGACCGTCAGTATACATATAATAGATTCAATCTTCTCTATAATATAATATACATTATACATTAATCTTATATTATTAACATTAATTTGATAAATTCTATTGAATTTCTTTTCAGTTTGTTTCTATATATGCCGCCTACCTCTATGATTCCGTTAAGCTCTATGCCTGGGCGTTGGATAAGCTTCTACGACAGGAGGAACGCATATTAACGGATGATGTGATATTTGATATAGCTAGTAATGGAACTAGAATAATCGACACAATTATTAAAAATCGTACTTATAAAAGTGTGTAGCTTTATATTATATATAGGTATGACTACATTATTATATTTAACAATTCTTTTCCTATATTTCCAGGTGTTACTGGTGCAACAATTAAAATAGACCAAAATGGAGATTCCGAAGGAAATTTCTCAGTACTCGCATATAAACCATATAAGCACTTTTTTCGTGATAATTTATCCTGCAATTATCATATGGTACCTGTTGCCTATTTTCAACAAGGAGAAGATATTCCAGTGAGTGAGTCGTCCTTTTATTTTTGTGTTTATCTCTGATTAAACATTTTCACAATTTTTCCTTTTATTTATGTTTCACACATTCTTTTCAACAATACAATATATTGTTATTCAAACTAATATACACAAAATCTTTATTTGTCCTCATCTTCTCTCAGTAGAGCATAGGGTGCCCTTATATACATAATCATATACTGATTAATAGCTTTTTATGTAACTATTTTTGTTTTCTGTTGACTTTAGGAATACAAATTAATAAATGGTTCTGTTCGTGTTGATTGGCCCTCTGGCGGAGATTGTCCTAATGATCAACCAATTTGTGGTTTCGCAAATGAATTGTGTAAAAAGGATGATCGACATATAACATCCGTAGTTGTTGCAGTTATACTTGGCTTACTTCTGTTTTGTGCCGGTGTTGTAACAATGAGTATTTATCGTAAATGGAAAATAGAGTTAGAAATTGAGGGTTTGCTGTGGAAAATCGATATATCAGAAATAAAAGGTTATCCTCGCAACGATATCGTGTCATCGCCTAGTAGAGTAAGTTTCATATTATTATAAATTTTTTTTTGATTATAACTTGAAATAAATAGAATGCAACAGGGTTTAGAGAGCAAATGACAAACAATTACAAAAAAAATTTTTTAACTCGTAGTCTCTATAAGTCGAACCTCCTCTTTTCTTTCTTTGACTGTATTTATATTTTTTTAAACGCAACAATGTTTGTATTTATCTATTATTTTTTTTATCCAATAGTTGAGTTTGGCTAGTGCTCAATCTCTTGGATCGCGTTGCTCGTATCACTTTTTCACAGCAACAGCGCAACTACGAGGAGCAGTTGTACGCATAAAAGAGTTGAAATTTAATCGCAAAAAGGATATATCCAGAGAAATAATGAAAGAGATGCGTCTACTTCGAGAACTACGACATGATAATGTAAACAGTTTTATTGGAGCATGTGTGGAACCATCAGCAATATTACTAGTCACTGATTACTGTGCCAAGGGCAGTTTATATGATATCATCGAAAACGAAGATATTAAATTGGATGATTTATTTATTGCTTCGTTGATACACGACTTAATTAAGGTAAGTCAGAAATATAACATTTTTATAGTGAATATTAATTTATTTTTATATTCTTTTAGGGAATGATTTACTTGCACAATTCTTCGTTAGTCTATCATGGAAATCTCAAATCATCCAATTGTGTTGTGACTTCACGTTGGGTGCTACAACTAACCGATTTTGGATTACACGATCTGCGACATTGTGCTGAGAGTGAATCAATTGGAGAGCATCAGCATTATAGAAGTAAGCTCAGTATATATCTTAAAGTTGATAATTACATATCTTAAATATCAAATTTATTTTTAGATCAATTTTGGAAAGCACCCGAACTTTTGCGTAATTCACATATTTATGGCTCTCAAAAGGGCGATGTGTATGCATTTGCCATAATTATGTATGAAATTGTTAGTCGTAAGGGTCCATTTGGGCAAACGGATTTCGAACCAAAGGAAATTGTTGATTTAGTTAAAAAGCAACCATTGAAGGGTGTTGATCCATTCCGTCCTGAGTTGAAGTACATTATTCAAAATGAATTATGCCCAGATTACGTACTGAGCTGTATTAAAGATTGTTGGGATGAGGATCCAGATGTAAGGCCAGATTTTTCAACTATACGGTAAGTTTTAGTAGTTTTAAAATAAGCGCATAAATTTGTAATAAAACGGCGTTCTACGTCTCAAATCAGCTCTTCATTTTTAAAGACCTTGCTTATGAAAATCGAATTCACTAGTATATTTTATACCCTCTATTGCTCTATCGTGTTGAATATGGTAAATTTATTTTAGACGTAGATTCATAGGGTTCTTGGGACCATATATTTTCAATTTGGACCAGTAGTGTGTTTCAGACATAGTAAATAATTCCTTTTATAAAGCATCACATAAACCCTACAGCAGATTTGTAACCAAATATATACCTTCCAATAACTTAATTCTTTACTAACAAAGCATTAGATAGGGTAACTGACACGACAATGATTTTTTGACATTATTTTAAAATTTGTATATAATAAAAGTTGTGTTTCTGTTTTTTCTATTCCAGTACTCGTCTGAAAAAGATGCGAGGTGGCAAAACCAAAAATATAATGGATCAAATGATGGAAATGATGGAGAAATACGCAAATAATTTGGAAGACATTGTCTCAGAGCGTACACGTTTACTTTGTGAAGAAAAGCGAAAAACTGAAGACTTGCTGCATCGCATGCTACCACAAACAGTTGCAGAAAAGCTTACAGTGGGCCAAGGCGTTGAACCAGTTTCATTTGATTTGGTAATAAGTTTAAGTTTCCAACTAAAAATATTTACGATTTCATAAACTCTTCTCACGTCTAATTTAGGTTACCATATATTTCAGCGATATTGTTGGTTTCACGTCAATGTCTGCCGAAAGTACACCACTGCAAGTGGTGAATTTCTTGAACGATCTCTACACTGTGTTTGACCGCATTATACGTGGTTATGACGTTTACAAAGTAGAAACTATCGGTGATGCTTATATGGTGGTATGTATTTCTAGAGCAAATAACTCATTTAAATACTAATGCGTTTACTACAAAATATATATATTTCTATTTAAAGGTTTCTGGGTTACCGATTAAAAATGGTGACCGTCACGCTGGTGAAATTGCTTCAATGTCACTGGAGCTTTTACAGGCAGTTAAACAGCATCGAATTGCACACCGTCCCAACGAAACACTTAAGCTACGTATAGGCATGCATACTGGACCTGTAGTTGCTGGGGTTGTAGGTTTAACGATGCCTAGGTATTGCTTATTTGGTGATACTGTTAACACTGCTTCACGTATGGAATCAAACGGAGAAGCACTAAAAATCCATATCTCCTCCAAGTGTAAAGAAGCGTTAGACAAACTAGGTGGCTACATTACAGAAAAACGTGGGTTGGTTGCTATGAAAGGAAAGGGTGAGGTAACAACATATTGGTTAGTTGGTGCCACCGAAAAAGCCATACAAAAGAAACCTGTTGATATGACAGATATGCCCCCACCATTGTTCTGTCGTCCACGTAGAAGTCCAAAGTTGAATAGTGATTCCCGACAGCCTAGTATTATTGGTATGCATTACTATGGCGCTGGTTCTAGGCGGCAGTCAAGCGTACCTCGTGCAGATGTTGAATCTACATGCAGCCTACAAGGTTCAACATATTATGTACCACGTGAATCGCCACGTTTACCATTAAAGCGCTATGAACGGCCTTCACTAAATGGACTTAGTGGTATTATTAGTGGTGGTAATAGCATTGCAGATCGTATCAGTTACTATGGAGGTGGAATTGGTGGTGGAGGAGGCATTATTTTTAATGTCGGTAGCGGTGGTGGCGCTTCTACTGTATATGAATCAACGCAAGCGTCACATAATACATTGGATCATTCCGAAATAAATGAAACAAACTGTGATAGTACTGGCGGTGGCAACAATAATAATGGTCAGATAGTACCACTATTGACTGCTGGTATGCGTAACTCTCTATCGCCAAAACCCTTGGCCATGGTGCGTCCTCATCGTATTATTGAATCACAACTGCCGTCATCCTCATCAACTCAGGAAATATTTAGAAGAGCACTAAATGACGGTTTAAGTGCAACCCAAACAGCTCTTTTACGTGAGTCCCGATCACTTGATATGATGCCGATGCAAATACAATTACGTAAACGTCAGGAAACTACAAAGTTGCCTCCGTCCAAACTCTCCAAGAATAATTCACGTTCATTAGACTTTGGTGTTTCATTGACTAGTGATGAAAACCCAACAGCCACCACAACAACAAAAGCTACAAACACCACTACAGGAACAGCACCACATGCCGAGAGCGAAGATTTACAAATCGACGATTTTGATGATAACATAAGTTTACTGATACGCGACAATGGTGATCTCCGTGCACGACATTCTGTCATTTTGCCTTCTTCGATAACAGTGCCAACTTCTTCAATGCTATTAAATCGTCGTCGTAGCGGTGGAAGCAGTTACATCGGCACTGGAAGTAGTGGAGCTAATTTAATGCCATATAAACATTACAACAACAACTGTAATGGCGGTATGACAATTGAAGAAGATGTACAGTCACCGCTTTTACAGCGGCAATCGTCTCTCACTACACCGCCTGATGAAATTTTAGCGCGTTCGAAACGTTGGCGTTCGCTTGAAACCATTGAACACCACAGCGGTAACAGTGTTAGTTATGCAGCCGATATAGATGGCAATAGTGATGCTGGAGGTACGGGTGGACAGCAGCCGAATTCCACAACGTCGCAACGTGGACTTGGTAAAAAGGCGACTTCGTGGCTGGTAAATTTTTTCCAAGGTAATGGCATACGTACAAATGATGCATCACTGCGACGTGTGGGCATTTTACCAACCGGCGTACGAGGCGTACCTGGTTTTGCGGAAATGCCAACAATACCGCGTGATCGTGAAAGTATTGTTTAGGTTTGTTATTGTGTAAAAATTGTAAAAGAATTAAAATGGCAGGGAACATGTTAGGAAAAATTAGAATTTTGATCATAAATGTTTTTAATTAGTATGTGGAGAACATTGCAGAAAACTAAAGCTGAGATAAGCAACTACGAATTACGAAAAGTGTTGCAAAGTAAATTTTTTTTGTAGTATTTTTTTTACTGCAAAAAATGTAGTTAATTTATTTCTATTTTTTTAAGATGAGCATTAAGTGTAATTAATTTGTCTTTTTTTGTTTTATTTTTAGAGAAGTAAAGCACAAATTTTGGAAATAAATATTGTTAAGCAGTAACATAGAAAGTCAAAAAGTGAAGGTCCCATAAGATTCATAAAAATATTGAAATAAAATTATTTTTTGTGATTTTAGAAATATCATAACTAAATTCAATTAAAAATCACAAGTAAATTAATTTTTATATACCATATTTTTTTTATTCTTTTTTGTTTTAATAGCACGAATATTGAAAAATTGCATTTTAAATTGTTTATAAATTATTTTGAAATATTGCGAAAAAAATTATTATTTATTAAATTAATTTTGTATACAGTCATATATATATATATATTTTCTTTAAATCATTACTTTAGTTATTTTCCGATAAATTATTGTTTTCATTATTTCAAATATTTATTATTTTTTAATTTCTTGTCTATTATTTTTTTGTTTAATTTTTAATATTTTAATTTTATGTTTATAATATTTCAATTCTTCTTTAATTTTAACTTTTTTCTCATATTTCTTATTTTCTTATATTTATATATATGTATACATATATTTAATTTTTTTGCAGTATTTATTTTATTTAATTTTTATTTCATTATATTCTTTCTTGTATTGCGTTTCATTTATCTCTTGAAATATATATTTGAATTGGATTATAAATAATTTTTAATTTTTTTTTCGTCATATCAAACACTGAACATGCAGGTGTACTCACCTAGAAAATCTTTAATAGAATTTGGCAGTAAAATAATTGAACCATCTGTTTAAAAAATTAAAAATCCAAATGAACTAAGTAAAGTAGTAATAATAATTAAAAAAATTTTTTTTAGTGCCATAAGAGAAATTAGAGCAGGACTCTATAAAAATAATAAACTAAGTACAATTTATTTAATAATTGAGCTTAGGCACTAATTAAAATCATATCCTTATTACTATTTAAGGACTTAGTTTAATTGATGGTACCATATCCCAAGAAAAGGACTAAATTCGCTTCCATTAAATATAATTTTTTTTTATTAGTTTTAATTGTTTTTTGCAAATAAAAGTTAAAGAAATATTGTTTATGAAAGCAGAGATTTAGTGACATTTTCTTTGGAAGAACAGAAGCTTAAATAGAATTTTTATGTTTGGCTTCAAAAATCATTGTCAAATTAAATAAAAATTTTTAACTGTTCGTCTTTTCATCAAAATAGTTACAAAAAATATAAACTTTGAACAAGAAAATATTTTAAATTATTATGAAGAGAATTTTGTTTTCTGCAGTCATAGAAAAGGGATAGCATATAATGCCCTATGAAAAAATCTTCTGCTTTTGCTTATATATGTACACAAATGCTTAACAATAATATTTTTAATGAGTTTTAAAATAATAAATATATTTATTTAATAATTAATTAATATAAAACTGTATCTAGTCAAAATAACCAGACTAGTTTTTCATAGTTATTTATAAATAAAAGAATAGTACTTCAGTATGCATAAAAGTTAAAAAAATTTTTTTTTAAATATACATCTATATAATATATAAGTCAAAAAATAAAAATAAATTGCTTTTTAAATAAAAAATAAATATATCTATAAATATATATTTATGAAAATTATAAGACTTTTTCACCAAACAAAGAAACATTTTGCATAGTTTTTTAATTTTTAAATCTAGTTTTAATTGAAAAAGAAAAAAATAAAAAGTAAATAAACAAAATAACTAAATACAATATATAAAAATATATAATTTAAATTAATTATATATTCATATATAAAAACAAAAAATAAATAACGAATGTTATTTAATTAATTAATTTTAAAAAATTAAAAATTTTATTTAATGAACAAAAATTATAAATTAATTACTTGTTTTTAAGAGCAAAAAATTCATTTTTTATTGTTGCAATCATTTTTAGATTTTATGTCATTATAAATAAAAATAAATAAATATAAAAATAAATAAATTTAAATATTGCTTGATACTATATATGTTTAGGAAACGCACACATATATGTAATATATATTTTAAAAATAATATTTTGTTATATCTTATATATGTGTGTATCAAATATTATGTCTAATAAATCACATGAAAATATTAAATGTAATTTTCTTCAAAATTATAAAAATAAAAGATATATGGAAATATGCAACTATTTTTATATTTATATAAAAATTCTGAAATAAATGGACATGTTTTTATATGCTTATAATGCAGCATATAAAAAATATGTAAAATTAATGGCTTCAAAAAAAAAAGAAAAAAATTCAATAAAAATTTTGTTAAAATTTTTTATAAAAAATATCATAATTGTTTATATATAAGTTTATGTAGTCGTAATATCTGTAAGTAATGTGTAAATGTTTGTATTTAGTTTTAATATTTAAATATTTAATAATTGTTTTCTAGTTTTTAAGTCAGAAGTTTGTAATATTAAATGTAATTAAATATAAAATTATTTTACTTATAGTTTTATTAAAAATTAAAAATTTATCAAATTTAAATTAATGTATTTATGTCATATGTAATATGTACGTTGTATGATGTATGTTTGTATTGTATTGTGTGTATTTTAAAAAATGAAAATATATATAAAAATACTTAGTAAAATGATATAATTTGAAAGAAAATAAAAGAAAACCATAATTGAACATTTTTAGTTTTGTTGAAAGAAAAAATATTATCTATGTTAAACTTTTTGCCATATTTAAATTAAATTAAAATATAAAATATATTTAATAATATAAACAAAATAAATGAAGAAATGTACAAAATGTGCTATTGAAGTTAAATTTTATTGTTTTACATTAAAAAAATTCTCTTAAGTGATTACGAGTCGATGTGATCTGAGAAAAAATTAATATAACTCTTTTATAGAAGAAACATTCTAAATAGTTTAGAGCAGATAGCATTATCTTACATACCTACATAACATTTTTAACGACTCTGAAGTATAGGAATAGGAAGTAGGTAAATTTTAGTAAATTTGCTAAACCCTTCCTTATTTAAGAAGAAATAAATGATATAAATGATATAAAAACATTTTGAAATGAAAGGTGTTAAATGAGTAAGCAACCCATTTCATGGTTCTAGTATTATTTTGTATTTCGAAGATAGGACTCTGTAAAGGTATTAAATTTTTTTGTCATACTTCTATAAATTGTTTAACTAATTTGTGATTAGTGATTGGATAATCAAGTAACTTGTGATTGGATAATCAATCCAAAATTAAGTTGGATTTGCAGGATGATAAAAATTTAAAACGAATTTTACAATGAGTATAATCAGTGAATCCAAATGCGCCTTGATTGAAACAACTCATCAAAATTTTCGACATAATAAAAGTAGGAACTTGTATTTCCAAAATACATAGTCTATTACAATCAACAAATCAACGTAGTTTTCGGTTAAACTACCAAGCTAAGGTTCTTTAAATCGTTTCATAGGATCCGAAACTTTTTTTCGGGATATACTCTTATCAATCTACATAAATACTTAAACACATCCAATATAAATAGTTTTAGAAGGTTTGGACTAATATCAAAAATCTTAGGTAATGCAAATAGTTCATTCGTGTTTATAGGAAAACATTCATAAGTTTCGAGTGATCTAATTATTAGATTCTAAACTTGAACATATTTAGGCTTATCACCAATTAACATGCAAAACGAATCTTTTACCGATCTTATCTTCACGTGCCATGCGATTTTTAGGAAATAAATCTAGAATCTCAAAATGGGTTAAGGCAGATGGAATGAGTTTTAGGATCCTGAATCAATCTATATTGTTATATTTATCAATAACTTAAAATTGTCTGGATTAGTTTAAGATACTCTTTCTAGGAGTAGTAAAATAGATCTTATACCATTCTTACTTATACTGCTAACAATATAGTGTTGTTTTTATTATCAATTTCATAGGGTTATAAAATCCGCAAAAACAAAAGTGAAATAAAGGTTTAAGTGTATATATTGACACATACTGATTACAGTTTTAAGAACTTTATTAGTTAGGACAGTATAGGCTTCTTAGTGAATGAAGTAATATTAAGATTTTGAGATATTAAGAAATTGCAAACTTCTTCAATATAAGAAGAAGTCATGTGTCACAGCTATATACCAAAAAACAAAAATGATTTGACATAGGTAAGTTTAAAAATTATATTATTGACAGCCTATTAAATGCATTGATCTATATGTGCTTAAATACAATTTTTAATTGCAGATTAATATTTAACACAATTTTGTAGACTATAAACTGAATATTAAATAGAATAGAATTTAGCAAGCATTTCATTGGAGACATTTTCTGTGCTTTCTCAGCATTCTCTAGTGGCAAAATTTGATATCCCATAGAAAACTTAAAGCTCTTGTTAGATCAACTGTATTCAGATTTGTGAATCCGTTAAAATATATTAACTCCTATGGAATTAATCCTTTATATGAAAAAAACAAAACAGTGATATAACAAGTTCTAGCGTAACCATCCGATATCCAATAGAAATCTTAAAAGTAATGTTGAATCAGATTTGTCAATTACTTGAAGTAAAAATCTCCTAAGGAGTTACCGATTTGTTTAAAGAGAGCCAGACAGCGAAAATGTGGCAGGTTAGTATTAGCTGCCTTTCAGGAAGCCATGATCTATTAATGAATACCGGAAACAATAACACAACGTTTTAATAAAAATTAAGTTAGTTCACGCTCTGGAAGTTATGTGAAGAATTGCTAATGATTTATTTTGTTATTCTACTTCAACAAAAAAAAAAAAATCCAGAACGCTCTTTATTAAAACTGATATATTATTTATTTATCTGATTCACTTTTAATAGATTATGTGTTTGTATTTCATATTTTATTTTTGCGTGAACTTCTAAATAAATATAGTAATTGTTTTATAGTTTGTTATTTTAAATTTATTTTATATAATTATTTTCTATATAAATGTCGCCGTTTCGAAGTTGTTTTCTACGTCTTTCTCAGGACGGATAATTATATCAACTGAATATGCAAACATATGATAAGGATTATTTATATTATATATAATATTGATGCATTATATGTTTATGAACGAACCAACAAAGGTAAAAAAATATTAATACTGTCATAATTTCAAAGTATTATTTTAAAATTTTCTAATATAAAAATTTTAATTATCAAATGATAGCTTGTTTTTAAAAATTAGGAAGTACAAGTTATTGGTTTACGCCACCATTATTCTCATAATCTCATATATTATATGGCACAGATGTAAATTTATTAAAAACTTAACTATATAGTTTAAAAATTGTATTATTTTTGTTGTGAAATTAGCTTTATCCAAAGACTTATTTTGTTTTCGAAAAATACTAACACAAACACACAATATATATTATATATATTGAATATACTAATGCCATTATCAAATGATGTTCGAAACAATATTTTTTTTATTCATAAAATATATATTATCATTATTTTTATTATTTTATTTAAAATATATTTAACAAAGCGTATATCTAAAATTTTGCCATTATTTATACTTTTTATATTAATATTATTATATAGATTATAATTGAATATGGAAGTATCTTTCAATATCTTTTGTATAACAGTTACAATATTATTGTTCTTCACTTTACACACTTTTTAAAATATTTTATTTTCATCATTATATGCCTTATAATATCATACGTACTTAATTACATATAAAAATTTGCACAAAACATGCATTTTATAATTTATTTATTTTTTATTTACATAAATACTTATTTATTTATTGATGTCATTTAATTATTAAATTCTGTTGTTTGGTATTTAATTGTGAGATATCTATATATTCAACATTTCAAAGGGAGGTACAAAACTTAGAAGGTGGGAATATACAATATAAATGAAATTAATATTCTATTTACAATTTTTTTTTTCACAAAAAGTTACTATTTTTTACTACATATAAATATATTTTTTTACGATTTATTTTCATTGGAAATAACGCCAAAGAACTAAAAGCTTGGGGAGAGTAGAAAACTTCTAACAGATTTTGTTTTAAAAACCTTAGGTTGTAATATAAGAAGAATTTTTTTAATAGAGATGGTCGCAATACGAAATATTGCATCATTATATATATCATATCATTATTTTTTTAATTTTAATTAAATATATTAATTACGTTCTATCAATTTTTATTTATATATAATTTTACGTATTGTCGTATATTGTCTCTTATTAAATATTGAGGCATGCTTGCTTTTAGTCTTAAGCAGTTGGCTTTCATTTATAATAACTTTTACGAAAAAAAAACAAATACTTTGGTAATTATAATTTTTCATATTCGGTTAATTTACTAAATACATAACGAAATTTACAAATAACAAAGATACAAAAAACATTGTTTTACCAACAACGCTAAATTCAAAAACTAAACAATGAACTAACACAAAACAACGCAATAAAAATGCAACTAACCTGCACTTAAAATAACCTGATCATCTCTAACATTTCGTGACCGTTTTCATTTAATAATACTCGTCAAACTGGTATAACCAGTGGGTCCACTATTGGGCCGCGTAGACTCACGACACCCGCCACAACAGCACATTTTACGCATTACATCGGAAAAACTGCTTTGCTCAAAATCATCCATATTATTCATAAATACACCGGATGTGAGATCATCTTCAGATAATGTACCCACAAATTCTTTTAAGTCCGAAATCGGGAAACCATCCCGATAATATCTTTTAATCGTATCATAAGCGTCCATTATGACGGATATAAACAATGATAGCACCACATAAATATACAGGGATATAAATGAGTACAAGTAAATCTGACAGAACCACCACAACCAGCTTGATTTGCTGGAGAGTGTGGCAAATGTAGCAAACATATCATCACCATTGATGAGTGCGAAAAGACATTCGGAAGTTGTTGCCAATGAACGGAACTTCATATGATATGGTCCAAGTATGAGCCAACCACAGAATGCAAACCCAGCATATATTAGCAGAGCAGCTAATAGGAAGCGCAGAATTTTTGGTGCTGCTTTTTTCAATGTGAGTATTACTACATTATAGGTTTTAAAGAATCCCAAATACCGTAGCACACCAAACCAAACTAACAAATTGCCAATGCCTAAAAATAATGAGCAAGTATCCCACTGATCCACCACGACATATTTAGCTTCAATTTGTTCTTTAAGCGCTGAACCGAGTATGAGCAGCACATCATTGAAGAGTATCATTATATACCTGAAAGTAAGATAAATGTTAATACATGATAAATAATAAGATTGATATTTCATACCAGAAATTAACAAACTCTATGCGCCCATCAAAACTTAATTCCTTATTAAAATGCACGCGGAAAAAGTTGACGGTCTGGCAACGTAATAGGTAAGCACGATAAAGTGCTCGTGCGCAAAGTGCAAAGGATAATAAACAAACGAGTAGCACAAAAATATTCAAAATGCTTCGCAATATTGCGTCGAACTCAGCATCGGAAATAAAATCTACATCGCCTTTACAGTGTAAACGTGTGGCATCTGCGTCCAGGGACAGCATCATTTGTCCATCATGATCGCGATTGTCAAAGAAAATAGTTATATCAAACTTAAAACAATCAGGCGCAGATAAAGGTCCACCGTACGCTTTGAAATTCACAGTTTTAATAGCAAAAACTAGTGTGGCTTTGACAAGCGAAGAGAAGCTCACTTCCACATTACGTTGTTTTAAATAATTCTCCACGCCGATCGTTGTTACATTTGGTGGCAACGATTCGCAAAGCATTTCAATCTCTGGATTGAATATGTACGATTCATTAAAGCCAAAAATAGTTCCCTCACGGTAATTGTAAAGGCACAGTTTCATTGAAGCCATTTCATTATTTGGTGTGGGATAATCGTAAGGACCAATGGAACGATTAACCGCAGAATAACCAACTACTGCATAGTCTATGGTAGCGAAAAAATCCTGTTTTTCATATAAAGCAAATGGACCAACGGATGGTGGATAGGAGTCCACCTCTCGAGAGGAGTCCCAACCTCTGAGGAAAAGATGCGAGAATGCAATTCTATTGTCCCATGTGTAATTTATGTGATTATATCGAGAATGCGCGAACAGACATAATTGCATCGTTACTAAAACTATTTTGACAACCTGAAAGTAAGAAGAAAAGAAATTAATGATATATAATTAAAAACAAGATATATGAGTTTATAAAAACGTGCTATATAAAGTACAATATATATAAATAAACGCCCTGCTTTAAAAACTCTACTGTGTTTAACTTGTGTAAAAATATATATATTTAAATGCTAAGATAAGAGTTTAATTGCATGCATTAGTGAAGTGTAGGGGTTCACTTCAACATTAATTTAAGTTAGTTGCGTAATTACTATATATAGTAAAGTTTAATATATATAATAAATAATAAAATATATATAATAATATATGTAATAATGTATGTAATCATATATATTGAATATATATTTTTTATTTTTCGAAAAGTTACTCTGCAAGAAAACTGGGTACTAGCAGAAATGACTGATTATGTAAGAAAGGTTCATTCATTAGATGGATAGGTTAACAACACCTTTACGGCAGGACCCAAAGGTCCATTATAATAAATATTATTAACATGCTACATTTTAAGAGTCAAAAACTCTACAAATGCCTACAAATGATAGATAAATTGAACCGGTTTATATTGAATGTCACGCATAGGATCGTTCCAATTAATACTAGTGAGGTTATTAGATTATAAGCGATATTGCTACTCTGTACTAAATACTAACAGAAACATTTGTATCTTTTAAAATATAAGCTAAAGAGTTGCTTAAAAGAATCGTAGATTTTTTATACTAAAGACTGTCATCGTGCCCACCATAAAGACTGTTAACCCAGTATTAAAGAGTCGACTATTTCATATGTTGAGTTTATCATTAATAAGCTTAACGATTAATTATTACGACCCTCCGTCTCTGTTAGTAGTGACACAGAAAATTGTAAAAGCTTTTTACTTGATTATGCTTTATAGTTTGAGTCAAACCAATATTTAATTCAAATAGGTCTTATGTACCCACCGAACTTATCAAAGAACCATACCTATAATGTGTTTCTTTAAGTGACAATTATTATTTTGCTGTTATTACAAAGGAAAGAGAGTTGGAAAGAAATATGCAACATGGGTTTTATATAGTTCCCAATACTTGTGTTTAGTTTACTATTAGATCAAAATTGGAGAGCAAATGAATTATGACTGTCTACAACCTAAATTCATCCCAACGACTCTAGTGGGAAATTTTTCAATAGTTTTTTAGACAATATTGGATGCTATTGAAACTTATACTATAGAACGCCTAAAAAGTTGATAAAAAAAACGCCTGCGCTACTATATATACAGCTACAAATTTTCTATAACCTTAGACCACCAAATCCAAGTTGCTCTAAAGCTACAAAAATATGATATCTAAGCAGATTAATACAAAGTACCAGAGACCAGAAGGTACTTTACTTTTCTTCGTGGAGCCAGTCCCCTTTTTGCGGGATATCTGTTAGACTTCACCTGTACTTAAAAATACTGAATAAAACCTGCTTGTAAGAGATTTGGACCAATTTCAAAAGCTTACTGCTATTCAAACAACTGATTCAATTAAATAATAATATTGAGAGACTTGTCAGTCTAAATAGAACTAAACTCAGATTAAGTATTGAGTAAAGGACACTAACATCTACAAATTTTGTGATATGCAAAAACTCGGTAATTATATCAGCACCTACAAAAACATGGTTTTCATTGACCTAAATAACATCTGTGATCTTGAGAATAAACATATTATATTATGTATATCAATAGTCGTGATTTTACAGGATTATATCTCATACATTGTCGTTTTCCTTCTAATAATAATATGTATATATATACAATCGTTTTATTTTAACTAATCATTAAGAGAAGTTGATTTAAAATGTTGAAAAAATAGTTAACCTAACCAATGCTATATTATTTATTTGAAAGCCATACCAAAAGCATAATTATTTCTAACAAAATTTTCAGTCAATATTTGTAATTTATTATAATTATTAATTTTTGTTTTTGCTTACTCAAGGTTTAAATATATAAAATATGACTTAATATGAAATTTAGTTAAAACAAACAAATATGTGAGTTACAAGTAATGAAAAAATAAACATTTCCGGACTTAAAACTAATGTTAGTTAAGCCTTTAACATATCAGACTGGAAATGTTAATGTATCTGACTGTTGTCAAATGTCCGACAACAAAAATTACAAAATTTATCTGCCTTTTATGAGTTCACCCACTAAAATAAATTTTTCAATTAATATTATTGACTAAAATGCTTAACGATATTAAATTGAAGTTTTGAGTACACACATGAATCACATAATCGCATAACAAATTATTAATTTAAACAAAGCCAATTTTATATAAAATTTACTTTTCTTTATTTGCTTAAGTATTGCATGTTAGCAAGAATTTATAACAATATGTTTGTTAATAATATAACATTTATTTATTTTAATTATTAATAAATAATGTGATAGTCATTTGAAGAATTAAAGTTAAATAATTATTTATAGGAGAATCAAGAGTTTGAAAAACACTTTAACTGAATTTCTTTCGTAAGATTTTTTAAGTAATCAATATATAATTTTTGGAGGAGCTTATTTTTATCTTAAGTATAATATTCTCTATTACTTAATATATAGTACTTCTCTATCAGTACTCTAACAATTTTACCAAAAAACGTCGGCTTCGGGTAAAGAACCGATTCCTTATAACTATAAAGACACGACGCTTCTCAGTATAACAGAGATGAGTTTGTCACTAGGTTATCTCATATAATGCCTTCATGCGTAGTTGAAGATTGGATTTTTTATCACATTTTATATGATTGTACATCCTCGATCATTTATCACTGACTAATATTAGAAAACTGATCAGAGACATTTTTGATAATAATTCATAATTATCGGCACCATATCTGGTGTCCAATCTTGGCCTGTTTCAAGATCAATTGGGGTTTATTTTACAATTGTTTAAGCTTATAAATATATCGAAGTACCTTGTACAAATGTTTATTCTGTTTCCGGATTAACATTTTTCAAAGCCACAGGATTCCATAAAATTCATGTATTAATTGAAACATCTTTTCTATTAATTTTTTTAATCCGTCATTTATACAAGCATTTTTCTAAAATGCATTATTTTGGACTCTAAGCTGCTGCTTGATACTAACGTTTCATTAATATTGATTAATTATTTCCTTATATTATAATTGGATTCTCTTCTGAATGCTAGCCGATGTTATTCACTTTGGCACTAGTGCAGACATGATCAGCATCACAAAAATATCTCACAAAAGATTTTTCGATCAGGCTTCTCCTCATTAATACTAACTACATAACCCGTTCACAGGAGTCTACTGATATTTTTTTTATAACTAATTCCGATTCGAGGTAGATCGCCCATAGTTTGTGGCTATAGCATTTCCATAAAGCTTTTTCGTCACTTATAGGACCATGGACTTGGATAATTCTTGCTACCAATGCAAGTCTTAATTCATTACGTGAATACAGGTTCCCATAGAGTATATTCTTATACAGCAGTAACTTGAATGCGATGATAAAGTGTCAAGTTTATACAACAGTAACTTGAATATTATGGTAAGATACACAAGTATTTTTTCATCCATGTTTTTATCAGCTACTTTAATTAATTGAAGGTAGGCGAAGAATTGTACATTAAACTCGAAAACTACTATTCCGATTGTATCAGACTCTTATTGCAGATAATCCCACAATGTAGTTTATCTTTCCTTCGTAAAAGAACCGTTCCATTGTTTATATTATTTGAATCATATGTTTAAAGAAACCTTAAAAACATGGACGTTATTATTTCAATCAAGTTGGTGTAAAACACAAGATTTGATATCAGAATAGAGAGCCGAAGAGTATATTAGATTGTAGGATACAATACTCTCATGGAAAGGAAATAATTAAACTGATTATTACTTGGCAAAAATTATAATTTTTTAGTATAAATTTTGTACAAATATTCGATTGATTCTTAATTATATGGATTCAATGTTTTTAATGGTTTTCTGGAAGGTCTGCATAATGATCCTTTTTATTTGATTAAAATCGATATGGATTAGTTGTAGTAACAATTCATATATTCTTTAACTAATTTTAGCAATAGTTTTTAAGCTGTGCAGAAGCGTTGGGTTAGTGGGAAATGATTTCTTTCTCTATAAAACGGATTTCTCCCTGTAAGCCGTAGCCCGGTTGAAAAAAGAGAAGGGATCACGACCAGCTAGTCTGAATGGTTTTTTGTACATCATAGTGTCTCTGAAAGTAGGTAAATACAAGCAACTCTTCTAGAAGTCACTAAGAATGCGGGTTGACATAGTCTTTGAACCCACCACTCACCAACTAATCTTTACATATACAGGTAACAAACATGATTCAAAACTTCAGCGGAACTATATCTCCACGGGGTAACCTGTTTACGACTAATCCCCTGTCAAAAAACTTAGGCTAATATCTCTTTAACTAATTTTAGGATACCAGCTAACTACTGCGCTGGTTGCATACCACTTATACAGCTTATTATATCCATTCAGAGTCATGGTGATTAGTCCGAGCCTCATATATTGTAGTGGAATGATACGCAAAACCCATTTTATTATTTACTTTTTAACTCTTCTGATCCTTTGTAAAAGGGTCAATGCTGTTGCTAATAATTTGAGTTTCGATTTGGTTCATGTTAAGGATAATCTTCAAACCATATTTAAAAGAAAAAGATGCTGACATATTTTGACTGTGTCAGCGTCAGAATTATACATTATCTCATAACAGATGAAGTAATTAAATCTAAGTCCAAGTTTTGGCGTCCTAGTGTTGACAACTGTATGATATATTTATAGCGAACTTATCGCATAACTTAGTATATCTAAATAAGGTTTGCTTGTCTAACCGAAGTAGGGAACGATACGTAATATTTGAGTACATTATATATATTTAAGTATCATTGCTTAAATTTTATGGAAAACAAAATACTTCATAAAATTATATTGAGATCTAAATATATGACAACTATTTTCTAAAGAAAGTACTATATAAGACACGCACA